GCGGAGCACAGGCTCCGGACGCGCAGGCTCAGCGGCCATGGCCCACGGGCCCAGCCGCTCTGCGGCATGTGGGACCTTCCCCGACTGGGGCATGAACCCGTGTCCCCTGCATTGGCAGGCGGACGCCCAACCACTGCGCCACCAGGGAAGCCCTAGTGTGATTTTTTTTTTAAAGCTTCCTGAAAGTGCAGTTTTCTTTAGGATGGGTCCTGTTCCCTGAATTCTACCTCCTGGTAGCTTCAAGTCATTCCCTCGTCATCCCCAGGGCCTTGTTCAGAGCTCCTTGTCTCTGGCTAGAATTGTTTAAGCTGTCTCCTAACAGGGACGATGACTCAAGTCTCACCACAGTCCGATTCTTGGCTCCACCTGGATAACGGAGGGAATTTTTTAAATGCAAATCTAATCAGCCACTTCCCTGCTAAAAACCCTCCCGCGACTCCCCACTACCTAATATTAGTGATGACAATAAAAGCACCATTTTTCAAGTGCTCTCTGTGCACCAGAGTATAAACCGCCTTATGTGTAATCTATCCTTTAACATTCATAACCTTCTGAAGTTGGTACTCTTATCACCTCCATTTTATAGATGAGGCTAAGAGGTTATTCAGTGAAGCTGGGAAGCTACATACCACTAACTTGTTAGGGATGTGAATTCTTGGACGCCACTCCAGACCTACTAAATCAGAGGCTCTGGGGTCGGGCCCGGGAATCTGCATCCCAGCAAGCCCTCCAGTTGGTTCTGCGGCACACTCACGTTTGAGAACCCCTGCTCTGGCACACTGTACCTCCTGCAATTCTGTGGAGGTAGAATCCTCTCTCATCCAACTCATCCCTTTTAGATTAGTTCAGTGTCCTACTCTATGAAGCCTTGTCAAACTCCCCAGTCTGCTGAGAGCTCCCTTCTGTGGGTTCCCAAAGCACCTTATCCTGCCCCTATCAGAGCCTTTGTCACGCTGACTTATAATTGTCTCTGATGCTGGGCTACCTAAGGTTAGGAAGGGCATCTTATTCAGCTCTACATCTTCAGCACCTGGAATATAGTAGGCACTCAAAAACTGCTCCTAGAATGAACACATAAATGAATAATCAGTGCCACAGTGCAGGGCGGAGGGGTGGAGGGATGAAGGGGTGAAGAGGGCAAGGGTACAGAACGAGCCTCTCAGGGCCTTTCTAGCGATTTGTTCACCCTGGAGCTGACCGAGGCCCAGTTTACTTTGACCACCCCTGCCTGGCTTTCTCAAAGTGCTATTGACCTCTGAGTGTGCATATACACATGCTCGGTGTGTGTAGGTAAGGGGTCGGGGGACGGTGGTGCTGTTTTCCCAGGCAGAGAATGCGTGGACTCGTGTGAACCTTCTACCCTGGAACCTCCCCCAGCTATGGGGAGGTGCCCTGCTTTCCCAGGTCCCAGGGGCTTCAGGAAATAGTGTCGTCCAGCTCACAGCCTGGAGGGAGGCCACCCATGCCAGACAGTACTGCCTGTCCCCATCCCCCAACCCATCCCTTGTACCTCACTCTTAGCAGGGGACTCAGGAGTGCTTGGCTTCCGGATAGCCACGGGAGAAGGCAGGGGGCTGCTGGCCAGGGCTGCGATCACCTGGCCCTGGGCGTTCAACAACAGCTGGGGGGTCACAGCCTGGACCTGCAGGCTTTGGGCTGGTGCTGGGGCCGCCATGCTAGCCGAGTTCACTACCCATGGAAGTGTTCCAATAACCTGGGGGGAAACATAGGGACCCCAAATGTGAGGGCAGCGTCCAGGTCCACCCCCAACCCAAATCCCCACATTGGCAGGAAGGGACTTAGACAAATCACTTAACCCCTCTGGGCCTGTTTCCTCACAAGAAAGTGAAGGATTCACACTCTAGGGGCCGCTTCCTTTACTCTCTCTCCAGAGCCGTGGTGGGGCAGGAGTAGGTCTGCATGTGCATTCAGACAGATCTGGATGTGAATCCCTGCTCTGCCACATTTTAACGGTGCGGCTTAATTTCTCTGAACCTCAGCCTTCTCCCCTGTAAAACGGGAATAAAAATCTCCACCCAGTAGGTGTGTACTCAAAAAAGAAGTGGGATAATGTATGAAAAAGCACCTAGCACAGAGGCTGGTCACAAAGTGAGTGTTCCATAAACGAAAACCCCCAGCTAGAGTGAGTACCACCAGGGCTGGATGGGGGCTACGCCCCTGCCTGGCCTCAACATCAGCAGAGAGCTGTCACCCAAGAGGTATGAACAGCAGCTCGTCACCCTAGTTGAGTTCCCATGACCCTCAGCCCACGTCCTGCCCCTCGTCCACAGCCAGCATCTCCACCAGCCCCCACCCCTCAGCCTGGCTTTGACCACTTGCCTGTCCCTGAGCGTTGGTGAGAATCTGACTGCTGATCCCCGGCATGCTGGGAACGGCGTTGGCAATGACCGGAGTTGCAGTGAGGGAGCCCAGGATCTGGGTCTGTCCCCCGAGGGAAGCAGCACTGATCTGTGGGTGGAGGAAGAGCCTTGCTCAGAGGCGATGGGGCGAGAAAGAGCCCAAGGCAGAGGGAAGAGGGCCGAGGGTACTGGGACGGGGGGGGAATGGATGCTGGGCAGAGGTAAATGTGGGCCGCAGGCCCAAGTCCACCAGCTGAACAGTGTCCAGGGCCAGGGGCTGCAGGGGGTGAGCAGGAAAGGGCGGGGTCGCAGTCATGGAGGAGTAACTCTGGCTGATCTTTCGGGCTAGCCCTGGGAGAGTAGAAAGGCCAGACTGGAGGGGCTGATGTGACTCTAGTCACATCTAACAGCCTCTAGCTCCACCTTAGCGACAGCTCACAAGTTTGTAATCCCCAGACATCATCCCACCCTCCAAGGCTGGTCCAGTGGTTCAGGTTCTGGAGGATTTGCCCAGCCCTCTTGGCAGAGGTTGTCTACTCTTGTCTGGGACGGATGGGCTGGCAGCTGCAGGGGAAGGCCTCAGAAGGAGCCCATCTGTGCCGAAGTGTTGCAAGAGAGCCGTGTTCAGGGGGCTGGTCCTCTACCTCCTTCCTCCCCCGAGGGAAGGGTCAGGTTCACCCTTGGCCAGAGATTCGGTCCATCCCCGTTTAGCCCCTGGTGAGGGCAGCAGCTTACGATTCCTGGGCTAAACGCGAAGCCTGCAGGCTGAACGGTGATCTGTGGGGGGCTGTCCACTGGCTTGGGGGTGGGGGCAGTCGCGGTGGCAGCAGTGGGCTGCGGCAGAATGGCAGGTGTGGTCTGCAGCAGCGGCTGGGTCTGGATCAGCGTCTGGGGCTGGGCTGGCGGTCGGGGCCGGGTGGGCGAGGAGGCCTGGGCCGGTGGGGCAGCTTGTACAGGTGCCGGGAGAGCGGCATTCAGCACGGCAGCTGCTACGGAGCAAGGCAGAGACAGAGGTGCTCAAACGCCTTGCCGTAGCCCAGGGAGGCTCCAATCCCAAGGGATCTGGCACAAGAATGAGGGGGGGTTGGGGCAGGGGGGACAGGCAGCTGTGATTCACTTGATCTTGGCGGGGGCGGCACATGCCAACTTCTCTCATCCCCCCTCCCTTGGGCCTGGAGAGGTGTAGATTCAAAACCAGAAGTTGAATCTTCTTGCAGTCCTTCTCAGGAGGCTGGTCACAGGGTGAGTTCTGGCGTAGGGGGGAGGGGTAGTCTCAGACAGTTGGCTGAAGGCGGAGAGGCCTGCTGGGCCAGCATGGTGCCATGGCCTACAGTCCCGAGGTAGTGCAGCAGCTCTGTGGCTGGGTGCCTGGGACACCAGATCCAGACTCCAGGGCTGTCGCCCGGGGAGGGCCGCGGGCTTGGAGTCCAACATGACAAGCACACGTGCAGGGATGGTAGTGTAAGGTGGTGGGGAGCCTGGTGCAGTCCTGGGGAGAGTTGCCGTTACCTTGGAGACCAGCTAAAGGTGGCTTGAAAACTCCCCCCGTGGGAGAAGCAGAGGTCAGTCCTGGGAGGGCAGCCACGGTTGCTGTAGGAATTGTCCACACGGCCAGCCCCTGCTGACCAGCCACTTGACCTGCAATACTGATGGGGATAAGAAGAGGTTGAGTAACTGCCCCTGCTGGAACCATAACTCCTGTCAGAACTGTGGCTAAGTTTTCCTGAGTCAAGACCTGCAAAAGCAAACGAGATTTCAGAAAGAAAAGAAAAAATAAAAAATCAACATTGACAGCGCAAACACTGGGTCTCTCAGACCCAGCTGAGCACACACAAAGCATTCTGAGGGCAGTGGGAAAAGGCCGCATGAGGGCGGGGAAGAGACAAGCCCTAGCTGGAGGCCCAACCCCGCCTGAGGGGGCACCTGAACTGGACTATGCCGCCTTCAGAGAAGCAGCACATATGAGGGACAGGGCCTAGCCCTGCTCCAGGACCAGAAAGGGTCACAGGCCTCTCCCACCACAGCCTGGTGCCTCCCAAGCCTTCCCCGGGCCCTTGCCCACAGGACCAATGCTTTGTGGCCAGGAAGCAGGGGGCAGGGGCTGGTGGAACCAAGTGGTCAAGACCCACAGGGGCCTCCGGGAAGTTCTGATGGAGGACAATCCTGATGGATGCCTTGGAGAACTGTGCTTGCAGTGAAAGGTCACAGGGAGCTCAGCATGCCTGGAGGCCCCTGGAGACAGCTTCTCACTGAGCTGGGGCTGCCCCTGGCTCTAAATGAGGACCAAAAATCCATTAACTCTTCTAGGCATCCCCTAGAGGGGCTGACAAGGGTATTCACTCACTTCGTCATTAGATGACTTGAAGGAGTTAATGTAATCTCTATAATCCTTCCTGAACCCAAGGAGATTACCTGGCAAATGCAGATCTACTTTTCCCAGGGGCCCTGATCTGGGGCAGGGGAGAGGCCAGGGGTACCTAGTAGGAGACTCCCTCCCTCAAGCCACAGCCTCTTCCCCACCCTGCCTCATGAAGTTCCCAGATCCCATGGCCAGCCCATGTTGGCTATCCCATGCCTTGCTCCTGCCCACTGCCCTCTGTCCAGCTCCCTGGGGTGGCCCTTACCTGGGGGGCAGCTTGTACAGCCAGTGGCGTCAGGGTCTGCGATGCCTGAGGCTGGCATGGGGCTTGGCTGAAGGTGGCAACGGCAGGGGCAGGGCTCGGAGGCATCCCCGGGAGTGACTTCACTTCAAGTGGCATTGGGAGAAAGAGGGACAAGGAGTGAGCCTGGGTGAGTATGACAACCCTCAGCCCTACATTGTATTTCTGCATAACCCGAGGCCAATCACTGGCCTTTCCTGGCCCACAGAGGCAGCTTCCCAAAAGCTACGGGTAGTGAGAATAGGAGGCTGGAGAACCCTGTGCCAGACCTGGAAGGTAGGCCACCCTCTTCTCACAGGTGGATGAAGAAAATGCAGACCCAGGCACAGCTGGGTATCAGTCTCTCATCATCTCCTGGCTCTGCAGGATGCTAGGACCTATCACATAATCAGTAGTAGAAAGGAACATGTGTCAGGGAGAGAAGGAGCTAGAATCAATGGGATCGACTGGCCCATCCAGCAACTGGATCATTGTTCACCCTACCTTCAGGCTACTGTTTGGACGCAGGTGCTGGCTTGGGGAAGGGGCAGGACTCCTGTAGGGTGAAGTCTCGTAAGTGACATGTCTTGGCCACACAGGATTACAGGGGCTCTCCAGACTAGGCAGCTTTTCTTCTTGCCATTCCCTGAGGTCTGAAGTCTGGATGAGCAGCTTCTAGGAAGTTCTAAAGGAACTTCCTATGCATTGGAGCTTTTCACCCAGGTGAGAGCTTCCTCTTGCCACCTGGATTTAGTTAGGTACTGGGACCTGTACCAGGAAACCTCTTTAAAGCCACACAACAATGCGGAGAGGGGTTATTATTTAATATATGGTGAGACATTAAAGAGAATCTAGGTGCTGTGCGTTTGACCAGATCAGTGGTTTCTTTTTAAATTTTTTTTTTTATACAGCAGGTTCTCATTAGTTATCCATTTGATACATATTAGTGTATATATGTCAATCCCGATCTCCCAATTCATCACACCAGTGGCTTCTAAATACTGACTGGGTATGGGTTTCCAGGCCCTAGTCTAGGCCTATTGAGTCAGAATGTCCAGGAGTGGAGGCCAGGAACCTTTCATCTCTCTCTTTTTCTTTTAAGCTCCCTTGTGATGCAGCACACAGGCAAAGTGGGAACCACTGAACTAGATAACCTTCCAAGCCTGCATTCCCAGCCTGTGTTTTAATCTGGAAAGGCACCAACCTAAGTAAGGACTAGACTGTTTACAGTATATAATTTAAAAATCCAGATTGCTTAAAGAATGAAAGAGACAAGCAACGACCACAAAAGCCTTATAAAATACTAAAGAAAACAAAACGGCAGATTTATCTCCACTGTGAAGGGGAGATACATTTCTAACTATTGAAAAAAAAAAAATCAGAGAAGGATAATCTGAACCTCTGGAAATTTAAAAAATATTTTGCTTGACAAAGTGTAATGAAACCTAAAAAGGAAAGTGAGGAAATGGGAATGTGATAAACACGTGTGATGAAAGCTTACTATCTGTATAGTCATTTCATTAGGATATGCTGTATTTCCAGAGTAGGACAATGGATCCTAGGGTTTGCCTACATTTAGGGTTTTTGTAGCTTCCTGCTTAGACTGCTTTTCAGGAAGACTGAACCAATTTACAGCACCATCAACAATGTACCTGTTTCTCCACAGCACCACCCAATTTAGGTTTTATCACTGTTTATTTATTTTTCTGGCTTAATAGGCATAGGTGGTACCCCATAGCCAATTACTTTTTCTCTCATTGATGGCAAGGTTTTGTATTTTTCCGCATGATGACTTCCTCCTATGTAAATAATTGGCTTCTCTTCAAAAGGAATTTGGGTGGACTACGCCTCAAAGAAAAATAAAATTAAAGGGCCATTCAAAGCAGCACTGTTTATGACAATGAAAAATCAGACAGTTTGATAATAGCCAAAACCAGAATCAGATGAGTGAATCTGTCAATAAAGGACATGGAATATGAAATAATATGGTGGTAAGTGTCATGCTACTTAGCCTGCCCTCAGGGGCCGCACCTATAAAAATGTGTATGTGTGACAAGGTTTGGGTAATAATTTAGAGTGACACAAATCACTAGATTCTTTTTTCATCCTGAAAGTTTCCTATTACTTAGTTTTATTTTGTTTTGAGAGGAAACACTTCTCAATATTGCATACACAGAAACATTCCATCAAAGCCACAGTTTAAGCTGGCAGCTCCTTAAGAGGTACCATCAACATACCTCCCTTCCCTGCTTGACAATGACTGCAATTCCTTTATAAAGACTTTGGTGAAAAGCTTAAGTATACAAACCTCTGGAAGAAGATGCACGCTACCATGAACACTCGTGCTAAGGTGTAAATAATTGATCTCTGATCAATTCCTGAGAGCAGGTTTTGGATAAGGAGCAGAATTAAGGCGCCAGAAGAAATGAGATACGGAAGATGGATAAAAGGGTAAAAAAAGGAAGTTAAGGCACTGTGGATAAACCTGGAAAGAAATGGAAAGGGTGGCCGAGATGGAGAATCCTTGTCTTTCCTGTCTGCTCACCAGGGCACTGGCCCATGGGAGCAGGTGGTGGCTCATCCTGGCCTCAACAAGGAAGCAGAACATTTCCAGGCTACGGGAAAATGGTCACGTCTCTTATCATTCCTTTACTCAAAAGGAGAAAAGATAACCCCGGATTACTAGGGTCCCAAATGGATCTGCACACTGATTTGCGAGTAGAACGAGGGAGGTGAGATCTGGCAGGGGTTTTGTTGAAGAGCTGCCTGTTCTCTTTGCTCTCTTCTTGTCTCCTCCTCTTGGCCTACAGCCTCTCCCCCAACCACATCTCCAATCTAGGGAAGGGGTGAAGTTCAGCAGAAAGCAAGGGGAGATGAATCATGGCTTTCTGGGGGAATTGGCAAGGGAGGCCCAGGCTTCCTGCAAAAGGTGTTAATAAGGTGTTAATGAGGGAAGTCAATGAAAGGGTACCCTGTGCCCAGAGAGCAGTGCCTAGGACCAGCCCCAGCTTCTAGAACAGCCCAGGCGGTCTCACAGCTGTACTGCAGGGTCATTAGGGGAGACAGTGTGAGTCAATCAGCCATATACATTCCACATGCAGGAGAGTCAAACTCATGCCCTGAAGTCATCTTTGGAGAATAAGAGCACAAATAAGCCCACCAGGCTAGACTCATGCCAGCCCAGCTGGGAGTGAGGGGCTGGGATTCTACAAGGCCCTCCCTAACACACACACCCTTAGTCCAAGGTGGGTATGATGGCCTCCCATCCCCAACTCCTGGCACTGCCCAGCTCTACCACAAAAGGTACTGATTTGGAAGGGCCGTCAGGATCCTGAAGGCTTAGTCCTCTCCACCTTGAGCTTGAGGGTCTGGTTTAGACCTGGCAGCCCTCTCTGAGGTTAATTCAATCCCCTCACCCTGACCCATCCCAGTTTAGGTCTGTAAGTGACTGAAACCAGAACTAAAGTTACAGGGACAAGGAGTGGCCTAGGAGCTGACCAACAGTACAGACTGTGACCAGAGGCTGTCCAGTGGACAGGAAGACAGTGAGACTCTAAAGCCACCTAGCCCCCTCCGGCTTCATGCTGGCTCTCCAGGGGGGAACACAGGAGGGGACTCAGGCGGAGCAATGCCACATGGGAGCAGGTAGCCTCATACCAGTTGCCTCTGCGGAGGAGTCTGGGTTGTCTGGCCCAGCTTCACCAGCAGCTTCACCGGCTTTGGTGGGGCCTCCGCTCTGGGAGCCCTCGGCGGCCGCACCTTCCAGTGCTTTGCCCTCCTCCTCAGCAGGGATCTGGGCATCCACTCCAACCTCCAAAACTCGGATGGTCTCATGGCCTGACATCACGATGACCTGCAAACAGAGGACGGGGACACTGCTGGGGGGAGGGGCAGATCAGCCCTAGGGAACCGGAGCTCTAGGTATGGCTGAGGGAGAGAGGAGAGAGCATGTCAGGATGCAGACCTCCTGTCTCAAGGACTGTGTGCTCTGTGAGAATTCCAGACCCTGGAGCAGACTGCAGTTCCCTGATTCCAGGGAAGGAGGTACTAGGAGAAAGTAGGCCCTGGTGACAGGGAGAAGGGCCTGACACAAGCTAGGAAAAGTCCCACAGAGCCAGACCACTTGGGGACATTTCTATTTGTTTCCTCTCTTGGATTCAGCTCAGGGAGTGGTAAATGGCCTCTCCCATGGCCTTGCAAGGTTGTCTTCTTGGCTGCTAGGATATTGGAGTGTGATTACGATGGCCCCTAACACCATATCCACAGCTCAAGCGGGACAGGAAGCAAATCCCTCTTCACGTCCCTTGAGTTATTATAGGAGTGGAAAACGAACGCTCCACGATACTGAGTAACTTTTTTTTTTTTTTTTTTTTTTTTTTTTGCAGTACGCAGGCCTCTCACTGTTGTGGCCTCTCCCGTTGCGGCGCACAGGCTCCGGACGCGCAGGCTCAGCAGCCACGGCTCACAGGCCCAGCTGCTCCGCGGCATGTGGGATCCTCCCGGACCGGGGCACGAACCCGTGTTCCCTGCATCGGCAGGCGGACTCTCAACAACTGCGCCACCAGGGAAGCCCCTGAGTAACTTTTTATGCTCATGTTTCCTTTATTTCCAAAACTCTGGGGTACGGGCCAAGATTTCCCTCCAAGCCAACTTCCTGAAGCGAGGGTCAGGAATCCTGAAGACGTGGCCTCTCGCTGGCCCTCCTGGACTGGAGCTTTGTACCCTGTGGGCCTGCAGCTCCAGTGTGCCTTCTGCTGTGGGCGCGCTCCGACCTGGAGGGGAGCCCCCATGCCCAGCAATGCAGGCAGCCCCTGGGCCTCCTCGGAACACTGGGTCCCCTTTCCTGCTCAAAGAGCCAGCACTCAGCGCTTTACCTCCAGCACTGACATGCTTCCAACTGGGCCATTCAAGAGTCAGGGACACCCGGTACATTAAAAAGCTCTGTGTCAGGCCTTCCCTGAGCTCCCGCCTAGGCCTGAAGACACTCCCACAACACGCTCCTTTGGCCTGAAAACTGGATCCAGCCAGAGACTGCTGGAAAAAAGCAACATTGTGACCCATCAGGGGAGTATGAGTGCAATAACCCCCACAAGCAGTTCCCTTTCTGACTCAAACTTGACCTGTGAAGGACTTTACACCCATCATATTTTAAGAGATGTTAGTTAATCTTTTTTCTCCTTTTAAAAATTACATAAGTCGGAAATTCCCTGGCGTCTCACTGCCAGGGGCCTGGGTTCGATCCCTGGTTAGGGAACTAAGATTCCATAAGCCACGCTCTCAAAAGAAAAAAAAAATTACATAAGTAATAAAAGGTCATTGCAAGAAAAATTAGAAAATGATATATAAGCAAGGAAAAAAATTAATTCCCTGATATCCAAATCTTTCCCCATGTTAGCTTATACATATTTTCACATTTTAATTTCACTTTTTAAAGTCACAGCTTAAGTCCCCAAACCCAGCCCCTGAGAAATCCTAGCTGGCAACTACATCTGGATAGGTAAAGTGACGATCTGGATGGGTGTTTCTGGTAAGAAACAGACGAGGGGCTCTATGGAGTTTTCTTCCTTGCCCACACTCCTTGGTCCATTACCCTCACTCCCCCACCTCTTCCTGCCCCAGAAGATACCTGCTCATTGACAGTCAGAGATGAGTCTGGCCCGGCTCCGGGATCCATGGTCACTTGTCAGGGTGGGGTGGGGCTGGCCCACACCTACACATCCTGCAGGGTGAGATGGGATGGGAAAAGCAAAGGCTGATGCGACATAATAATAAAATTTCCATGCCGTCTCAAAAAGTCAGGAGCAGAATGGAAGGAAGAGAGAGAAGCTAAGGTCTCCCAGGTATGTGTAGAAGTAAGGGAAATAGGAGTCTAAGGATTTTAAAACTAAAGTGTCTCACTTCCTACAGCGTCCTAGGAGAACCTACACTCAGGAGGAGCGAGGGTGGCAAGAGGAAAGAGGAGGCCAGGCATCATTCCCTGGGAGTTCCCCAGTCCAGTGGGAAAGAGCAGACCCAGTAGAACCCAAGGTGACTTTGACCCAGACTCTCAGAACCAGACACAAGTAAGGAGTACACTGGGTATCAGAGCATGTCTCAGGGGAGGGGTCTGAGTGGACTTCCTGGAAGAGATGGTAAAGACAGGAATAAATTAAAACAGTTGTCTCAAACTAACGTGTCTGATTATCACCTGGAACACATTAAAAATGCAGGACCCCCCTACCCCGATTTCCCCAGACCAAACATCCCCAGAGTCTGATTTAGTAGGTGGGTGCCCCAAAATCAGCACTCAGGGGATTCTGTGGCAGTGGTCCAAGAACCATACTGGCCTTTAACATGGGAGGCAGGACAACATCCCAGATGGTGCAGCAGCTGCCACATGCAGTGAGACAGAGTGAAACAAGCCCTTGTGAGAAACAGGTGGTCTTGCTGGAGCCACAAACCGCAGTCACAAGAAACAGAGGTAATAAAGGGGACAACTAGTTTTAGACACTTATATAGAAAAGAGTAAGTTAACCTCTATTCTGAGTGCCCACTGTGCTAAGCATTTTATGGAACACTAATTCACATTATTACTCATGCCAGCTGGGGGATGGGAGCATTAGTATCGCCATGTTATGGACGAGGACACTAAGCTCAGAGAAGTGTTCCGGATTCCTCACCTTTCTCTTCCTCTTCCTCTTCTACCCCTGGGTCCGCTTCGTTAGTTTTCCTTTTTTTTTTTTTTCTGTTATTTTATTAATTGAGGTAAAATTCACATAACATCAAATTTACCATTTTAAAGTGTACGACTCAATGGAATTCAGTACATTTACAATGTTGTGCAACGATCACCACTATTTAGCTCCAGAACATTTTCATCATCCAAAAGGAAATCCCATATACATTAGCAGTCACTCCCTTCCCCTGCCAACCCCCAGCCCCTGGCAACCACGAATCTGCTTTGTCTCTGTGGATTTGCCTATTCCCAATATTTCATATAAATGGAATCACACAATATGGGGCCTTTTTGTGTCTGGCTTCTTTTACTTTGCAGAATGTTTTCAAGGTTCATCTGTGATGCAGCATGTATCAGTGCTTCATTTCTTTTCACAGAAAAGAACTGTGAAAAAATTCCATTGTATGGGCACTTGCACTCTCTGGGGAAGGCGGAAGCACAGGTAAACCAAGATTTCATTTCCAAGATGGAAAGTCCATCAGACTCAGCTGTGACTTTACCCAGCGCTCCACAGGTCTGTGCCAATCCGTCACCTCCCCACACGAATAGTTCAAGAAAACAATCTGTGAGTGCAACTCTTAGAGAACGATTAAGGAAAACAAGATCTTCATTTAATTCCCATAATTAAATGGCGTGGTAAAGTGTCTTAAAGTCAAGAATGAAAAAAACAATCATTTCGACCCACCTCCTAGAGTAATGGAAATAAAAACAAAAATAAACAAATGGGACCTAATGAAACTTAAAAGCTTTTGCACAGCAAAGGAAACTATAAATAAGACGAAAAGACAGCCCTCAGAATGGGAGAAAATATTTGCAAATGAAGCAACTGACAAAGGATTAATCTTCAAAATATATAAATAGCCCATGCAGCTCAATATTAAAAAAACAAACAACCCAATCAAAAAATAGGCAGAAGACCTAAATAGACATTTCTCCAAAGACGACATACAGATGACCAAGAGGCACATGAAAAGCTGCTCAACATCACTAATCATTTGAGAAATGCAAATCAAAACTACAATGAGGTATCACCTCACACCAGTTAGAATGGGCATCATCAGAAAATCTACAAACAACAAATGCTAGAGAGGGTATGAAGAAAAGGGAACCCTCTTGCACTGTTGGTGGGAATGTAAATTTACACAGCCACTATGGAGAACAGTATGGAGGTTCCTTAAAAAACTAAAAATAGGGCTTCCCTTGTGGCACAGTGGTTAAGAACCTGCCTGCCAATGCAGGGGACACAGGTTCGAGCCCTGGTCCGGGAAGATCTCACACGTCTTGAAGCAACTAAGCCCATGCGCCACAACTACCGAAGCCCGCGTGCCTAGAGCCTGTGCTCCGCAACAAGAGAAGCCACTGCTGTGAGAAGCCCATGCACCGTAAAGAAGAGTAGTCCCTGCTCGCCACAACTAGAGAAAGCCTGTGTGCAGCAACAAAGACCCAATGCAGCCAAAAATAAAATAAATAAATTTTAAAAAGAGTTCCACTATAAAAAGAAAAAACTAAAAATAGAATTACCATATGACCCAGCAATCCCACTACTGGGCATATACCCAGTGAAAACCATAATTCAAAAAGACACATACACCCTAATGTCCATTGCAGCACTATTTACAATAGCCAGGTCATGGAAGCAACCTAAATGCCCATCGACTGATGAATGGATAAAGAAGATGTGGTACATATATACAATGGAACATTACTCAGCCATAAAAAGGAACGAAATTGGGTCATTTGTAGAGACGTGGATGGACTTAGAGACTGTCATACAGAGTGAAGTAAGTCAGAAAGAGAAAAACAAATATTGTATATTAACGCATATATGTGGAACCTAGAAAAATGGTACAGATGAACGGGTTTGTGGGGCAGAAATAGAGACACAGGTGTAGAGAACAAACGTATGGACACTAAGGGGGGAAAGTGGCGGGTGGTGGTGGTGGTGGTGGTGGTGGTGGTGGTGGGATGAACTGGGAGATTGGGATTGACATGTATACACTAATATGTATAAAATGGATAACTAATAAGAACCTACTGTATAAAAATAAATAAATACAAATTTTAAAAAATCAGATCTTTTCAGAGAAGCCATCATCTTTAGCAGAAGAAAACTGGAATTTCAAGAAAACTTTAAACACATAGTGAGGTAGAAGAAAATACACATTTGAAAAATACTTTTAAGAATATCGATGCAAGTGAATCTAAATCACTGGATACTGGGTCACGCAAAGGCCTCCAAAATGATTTTGTGAATTAGAATTCTTCCCAAACAAGGATTAAATGAAGAAAAAGCAAAAGAGGTGGAGACTGGGGAGAAAGAAGACCTTTTCACAGGCTAAAACTAGTCAAAATGTATCACTCAAAGAATGACCTGTCCCAGTTACGGCTGTTAATAAGGAAGTAAAGAAGTTGTAGGCAGATGTTACTCTGTGAGCTGCAATCAACTACGTCTGAAAAGAACAAGAAACTGAGCCTCACCCATTTGATAGATCACTGTGTGTAAGATGATAAATTGCTACACTCTAACAGAAATGAAGAGGAATTCCTACGAGTTGCATTCATTTTTTTCTCCAGAGTATCTTTGAGAATGACAACATAATAAAAAAGATGCTTATATGTTTTAAAGAGAAGGTATCAACCGCTAGAGCTTAGAGAAAGGTATCCTGATGAAAGCCAATTTGGGAACTCTGTTATTATCTAAATATAAACCAAGTTCTATAATGAAAATTCAGTATTTTGGATAAATTTGCTAAAGGAAACAACATTTAAATAAATATGAAAAATGCTAATAATGTTTAAAAAATAATTTGGACAATCCTGGTAGTTTTTTTTTTTTTTTGCGGTACGCGGGCCTCTCACTGTTGTGGCCTCTCCCGTTGCGGCTCACAGGCTCCGGACGCGCAGGCTCAGCGGCCATGGCTCACGGGCCCAGGCGCTCTGCGGCATGTGGGATCTTCGGGGACCGGGGCACGAACCCGTGTCCCCTGCATCGGCAGGCAGACTCTCAACCACTGCGCCACCAGGGAAGCCCCTGGAAGTAGTTTTAATACATTGTTTTGTTTATTGTGGTAAAAAAAAAAAAAAGTTTTATTGTAAATGTTAAAAAACAGTCCAACCAGGTGAATGTCTAAACCAAAATGGGTCTAAAAATGCCCGCCTCTCTCATTTTATGACCCTTGTTTCCATCCATTTATCACATATTTCCATCTGGCTGGTCTAGTAGATAAACTCATATGTCAAAAACAATTCCAACGTATAGGTATGCCATATTTTGTTTATCCGTTCATCTGCTGATGGACGTTTGGGTTGCCTCTACCTTTTGGCTTCTGTGAATAGGGCATCTATGAATCTTTGTGTACAAGTTTTTGTTGCAACACCTGTTTTCAATTTTGGGGTATATACCTAGGAGTGCAATTGCTGGCTCACCCTAGGGGTTTTAGGGTTTTCACCCCAATGACTGTGGTAAATAGCACATCTGGATGGCCTCCTTTGAGCTCATGATGCCATGCAGTGCCCACAGCCTGACAGCAGTGAAGAGAGATGATCGACTGTCTGTTTTAAGAGAAGGGGCTCTTATGATCACCCCAGCAGTAGAACTCCAGTACACACAGAGATCATGGTTAAAGCTGGGACAGGAAGCAGTGCCCAGACAGAGCCTCCTCCTTTGCCTTCTTTTTTTTTTTTTTTTTTATTTTTTAATTTTTTACACAAAAAAATGGCTTCCACGGAGTCTTTTGTTTTGGTTGTTTGGAAACGTTTACTTATTTTGCGAGTCTGGGTCTAAAAATGCCCGCCTCTCTCATTTTATGACCCTTGTTTCCATCCATTTATCACATATTTCCATCTGGCTGGTCTAGTAGATAAACTCATATGTCAAAAACAATTCCAACGTATAGGTATGCCATATTTTGTTTATCCGTTCATCTGCTGATGGACGTTTGGGTTGCCTCTACCTTTTG